ACACCCTTGAACACAAGGTCCTGCTTTGTGCAAGCGCTCCACGCCTACACTCTCTATACATGGAGAGGGCTTCAGGTTCAAGCAGTAGTAGTAGTAGTAGTAGTAGTAGTAGCAATAGTAGCAGTAGTAGTAGTAGTAGTAGTAGCAGCAGTGGTAGTAGCAATAGTAGCAGGTAGTAGTAGGAGGAGGAGCAGTAGTGGTACGTACGCTAGACTGTGCGATGAATATCCGTGTCTTATCGCGGGGTTCTTGCAACTATGAGCTCTTAGGTGGAGCAAGCTGGTTCGGCGCTGGAGCATGCTTCCGGCAGTCTGAAGGCCAACAAGGCCGTTCAGCCGAGATTGGAAGCAAAGAGTTGCAGCGTTGGTGGCCGATGCATGAGAAGCGACATGGTTTGGCCAAGCTTTGGCACTGGCTCCCCCATCAGAAGGGTGATTTCATTGTGCAGAGCTGTGGATGCCAGAGGCCGTTGTCCTCGCCGCCGTCCGGCAGTATGGGTCTTCTCTTCAGCACGCATGCCAGGACCAGACGTCAAGCATGAACTGCTCCACATGGTTTACAACTTTACAGCTGTAGGAACTGCAAAACGATCGCGAAGTGGCGTCGAGCTTATTCTCTTGCTCTGTCTCTGTGGCGGCTTCACTTGTCTCTTTGAGGTCATGGCTGCTGTATCCAACCAAGCCCGTGCCTTGCGACATGCGTCCAAGGTCCCCTGCCCATTTTTGTGCGAGCTCGGTTCTTGTCGGGTGTCAGATCTCCAGGGCTCTGACACCCGACAATGCAGGCCCTACAGGCAGATCCTGACATCGTGTTGGCTGCAGCAGCGCGCGACGCAGCCGTCCTGGCCTTTGCAGCTGCCGAGGCCGGCGATCCCAAATTTATTTGTAGAAGGTTCTTTGCAGCGCAGTGGCCACGGCCACAGAGAGGTGAGGAACGACAAGTATGTCATGGGGTCGGATCCTCAACCAGGTCCCCGCTTTGGCTTCCTAAGCCCTCGAGTCCAGTCTCTCCCAGGCAGGTCACGGAGCATCAGCCGCACGGACTTCGCTACGCAGGCAGTGCAAGCGGCTGCAAGCGTCGACTAGCCTGGCACAGCTCGTTTTATTCAGGGGAAGACCTTCGAAGTGATTGGGGCCTCTGGCTGAAGGCCAGAAAGAACGGAAGTCGCTCTCTGCGCCCATCCTTTCGCGCGAGAAGTCGCAGGCTCTGGCGCGAGATCCTTCGGTGCTCGCCTTTGCTCCCCAGGCGGCAGGGTAGTGCAGAGCAGTTCAGAGTAGATGGGCAATGGGCCTGGGCCACTTTTCGGACCTCTTTGCATTTTGAGGAGCTCCGAGCCAGTCGAGAGTTCATGTGTTTGGCGGCACAGCGGAATGGCTTCGCACTGGACTATGCTGCCAGTGCCTGAGTTCAGGGCTTTCAAGGTCCTCCTGTGGTGATCATGGCAGAGCTGAGGTGAAGTCGTTGCAGAAGGACATGAAGTTGCTCATGATTGCGGTCGAGCAGGCAATGTGACCACACTGGCAGCGCCTATTGCCGTGGAGATGTATCTTGCAGGTAGAGCAACAGTGTCAGCGACCTAGATGTCCCAGGTTCCAGCAGCAGACATGGTGGAATGCTCGCATGTAGTTCCCTTTAGGTGTTATATCTGTGCGAAACATCTCAAGGTGGCGAGAAGCAAACTGGGGTTTTCTTTCACATGATTCCCGAAGGCAGAGGCAGTGCCGGACAGAGAGGCCTAAAGTGTAAGCCCAGCAGGAAGGAGAGGATTTCCGCAAAGCCAAAGGTCAAAACGGACAAAAGGTCCGGGTTGTGAGTTGCGCAATGTGATGGGAGAGTTGTAGTTGAGCATTAGTAAGTCCAGTTGCCAAGTAGTTGGTGAGTGAGATGTTGTACTACAGTTAACCAGTGAGTGAGGCAGGCGGGCGTCAGTCAATCGATCAGTCGGTCTCTGTCTTTGTGTAGCACTATGTGCATTGACCTTTGTTTGGTGACTGTGCCTGTTTTAAGGCCGCACAGAGACCGCCTCGAAGAAGGTTTTCGAGTGGTTCTGTTCAAGGGTTTTGAGACCTTTCAGCAGCCCGGCCGCCAGGACCTGTGTTGGCAGCTACCGCTCACAGCGTGAAGCCTTCGAGGCCTTCCTTGCAATCCATCTCTTTCTATGTGCAACGGCTGCAAGCGCCAGATGTGCAGGCGATGGCAGCAGCGTGTGCCAACCTATCCTTTGCATCCTTTGAAAGCATCTCTCTGCTGCCGAAGGCTGCCGAAACCAAAACACAATTTGTTGGCCCTAGGCCCTTGGCCAGGAGTTGCGGCGATAGCACAGCGGATCCGGAGTTACATGCGTTGGCTAAAGAGGAAATTTGCAGAGATATCGGAATAAGATCAGATATACCATGCAGTACCGGTTGGTGCAGACTTGCGAGTGGGGCTGGGCATTTCTGAAGGCAGGGGGTCGTGCAGGCTGAGGCGGTGCTTCGGGTCCATTTTGGCGCGTTTTGTCATGTTTGCAGTCAAGCTGCGAGGCGATTTGGCCTTTGAGTTGGTCGGATGCCAGCGACAGCTTATCCACTTCAAGCAGTGCTGGACAAAAATGAAAAACCCTTCTGAAGTGAATCAGAATGGCATGCACACTCACACGGGCTACCGCTGTTTGCGGATGCTTCTGGGGCTGCAACACGCGATGCCACGAGCATGCTGTGCGCCGGGAAGCACCGGCCTCAATTATTTTTTTCCCATGCTGGTGACAGTCTTGAGTCGTTTAAAGGTTAACATTTGAAGTCCGCCAACCGGATGCTCCCTTCTGCAGTCAGCTACGGCTGACCTTTTGGTTAGAAGTGCCGCAGAGCGGCATCAATACGAAGTTTTTAGGTTCCTAGATCCGTCGGAAGGCAACAGAAATCGGAAGATGGATCCACAGGCAATGCAGCAGAAAGGCCAGACGACGGCCACATCAAGATTGCCTTGCAACACCTTGATGTGCATGTATACTCAAATACACGTTTGTTCCCTGTACGATTGCCGGTCCTGAAGCTTGGAAGCTCAGCCCCGCCACACATTTCCTGAATTAGATCTGCACGAATTCGACACAGCTTGCCTGGATGTGTCATGCTGCTGATGGCTTGTGGGCAGCTTGTTAGATCCCCTTGGCCTTCGTGACTTCGCAAAACATAGCGAGATTTTGCGTTTAGCCACGGGCGGGTCTCGCTGCTCACTGAGCCTCGCGGTTGACCCGGACGAGTTGCACAATTCGCCCTTGCACGCCGTGGTGACGGTGCTGAGGTCTTGACTTGCTCGGGCCCACAAAGCGCAGTGCTCCTGTAGCTGAGTGCACAGACAGGAACTAGAATGCCGAGCTTGCGACAGAGCCGTCACGAGGGGTCTGGGATGCTAAGCGCAGCTCCTTCGATGGTTTGGCCTAGAGCTCCGGTGTGTCCAGTAGCAATCTTTCGACTGATGGCCTTCAGTCGATAGCGGCCGATAGCGGTGGCGCCGGGCTGAGAATTCATCAACTTTCGGTACACCGTGCTTTCGGTCCCGCAGCTTCGGTGACGTGTTCTCTGAAGGACTCCCCCAGTGGGAAGATGTCAGGACTGGGAGAACCACAAACACAGGGCGAAGAGGTGAGGAGCCCAAGCATGGATGGCTCGACAGCGGTGAGAGACGATTCATGTCATGCGAGGTCAAGTTGATCTTTGAGTTGCTGGATGTTGATCACAGCGGCAAAATCGATGCCGATGAAATGAAAAGAGCTGCCCATCCAAGTCAGAGAGGCCCTTCAGCGAGATGAGGGTCGCACCAAGCTCCTGTTCAGGTTCTGCTCTCGCTCAGCTTCAGCCCAGACAACGTTCAGACCCTCATTGATCAGTTCGACAAGAACAAGGAGCTACGGCAGCGGCAACACTGAAGAGTCAACGAAACAAGCTCCCTCGCTCTGTCTCCCCCATCTTCTGTCGCTCTCTTTCTTTTTGACTGTCCTTCTCTGGTTCCGAGGATGGCGAGCTTTCTATCATCGAGTTCTGGAGTTGGGTCAACGGCCATGATGGCAGGCCAACGAATGCGGCCAAGACATCAGTAGAACGACGTGACCCATCGGATCTGTGCGCACATAACTATACCAACAGTGATCATGGCCCAAGCCCCTGCCGCAGGCAGACGGGTGACTTTCGCCCGCAGTTGCTGAACATGGCTGTTGAAGAAAACAAGCGAAAGATCCACGAAACCGAGGAGCTCTCCGCAATCGCGAGAAAAACACAGTTAGGAGGGGTGGTGTGTGTTCTTCGGAGTCCCTTCTACTGCAGAGCGCGCGTTCTTCGGCTCTCCGTTTCGAAGGAGCGGCTCGCCGCCTTTCGCAGCAGGCGGCAGCTCCCAGCGCTGGGAGGGCTCCTTTCGATGCTCCGAGTTTCTTAGCCTCTCTCCGGGCAGGAAAGATGCCGAAGAGGCCAAAGCAGCCGAAGAGGCGTGAGCAAAGGGCTCCTCGGATCCTGGGATCGCACCTCGTTTTTCAAGCCCTTGCGAAGGCAAGGAGACAAGAGGAGAGAGAACGAGGCCTGCGCTTCAGTCGCGACTCCTGGCCGCAGATGTGACTCTGATCTCCCCAAGCTTCAGATGCGACCCGAGTCGTTAATCGTGCTTATGCCGAGGAAGATTTCGTCAGACAGAAGCTCCTTGCCTCAAGGTTGTTGCGGTGCTCGCATGCTAGGGAAATCTCAGTCGAACGCTGTTGCTTCTGCGCCGTTACCCGTTCGAGAGGTGCGGGGTTTTCAGGATGTCCTGGAGCGTTGTTACCGCACGTCCAAGACCGGGTGACCATGCGGCTCCAGTCATGCTCTTCAACGAACAACATGCGCACAACGACGCTAACGACAGCATAAGACCTTCTGAAACAGAAGAACTCGCAAGGATGGAGGCTGGATTCTCCAGAGCTGTTGCGGAGGAATTGTACAGCAAATGTGACCAAGACCGGGACGGCAGCCTGACTTCATTGGGACCCGAGACCCGTAGACCGTGTGCCCTTGTCCTAGCGAGGCGAGGTGAACTACCAGGACATCGGATGGCTTGTGTCAGACAACTTGGCCACGGTGGACCAAGTGTTGCTCGGCGTAACTTACCCTTGTTGCTTAGGCTTCGCGCTTGCCGTCTCAGCTTTCAGGAGACAGACGTACCAGAAAGGGGTGCAGAAGAAGGCATCTGGGCAGAGACGAATGATTTGTGCCGTCTCTGCTCGCTGTCTTCCGAGGAAGAGGACATCAGCTGGAGCGACGACTGGAAATCCGAAGTCTCCAAACTCCTGAAACGGCGCGGTTTCAAAGAGGAGGAGGAAGGCCATTCCGCGCATTCAACCTTCGGTTTCCGCGGCCTCGTCCTCGTCCGGTGGTCTCTCGCAGGCTTGAAATACCATGCCACGAATGCGGCTGGAGAGTCCGTCGCTCTAAGAGAGATTCTCAAGGACAAGACTGCATCTCTGGATAGCAAGCACTTCCCCATCACGCTCCATTTGCAGGCCCCTGTTCCTTCGTTTTTCCTGCATACCTCGTGTCCTGTCCTGAAAGCCATGGCGAGGCCTCGAACGTGACTGCTTGTGACTTAGTAATCAGAATCCAAGCAGAAGAGGGGGCCCGGGGGGCCGGGGGGGGGGGGCCGGGGGGGAGGCTTTGTTGCTGGCCTTACTAAGGTCGTGGATTGCGACGACCGGGGCCTCGACCAGCTCGTTCCCTCCTCGGAGATTGAGCTGAGGAGTCTGCTAACAAGAATATTAATAACAATAATAGTAATGATAGTAATAATATTAACAATGATAGCAATAATAGTAGTATTTATCCGGTCTGCTGAGCAAAGGTCGATACCTTCTTGGCTTGGGCTGCTCGGATCTCCCATGTGCTGGGATGTGTCCTCTTGAGTTGCGCTTTGCCTGAGGACAAGAATGGAGATGGAACGGTTTCTTCAGAGGAGATGGGCCAGGTTCTGAAGCAGGTGAACCCCAAGTTCACCGAGGCCATCTCTGAAGCTCACGATCCCAAAGCTGCAAGGTGTCCATATCTCTCCTAGCAGAGCCCCTGCTCTTTCGCGATTAAAGGGGGCCCCATTGCAGAGAGATGTTCCTCAAGCTTCCACTTTCTGAAAATGGCGGTGCAGGTCACTCTCCAGAAGAGCCTTGAGATGAACTGGCAGCTTGGGAACAAGTCATCTCTTCTGTTTGCGGGACTCTAAGGATCTTCGCAGAGATTGACGTGAACAATGATGGAGTCATTGACACTCAGTTTGGACCTAGAGCATCCTAGCCCCACCCCAAACACACATCTTACCCTAAACACTACACTCCAGACCCTAAACCCTACTCTTACACATTCATACTACCCCTTCTCACGTTTCGGTGAGCGTTCTTGTGCTCAGGACCTGCAGGAATTCGTCTCCTGGCTCTCTGGAGAGAACCTGAAGACGGGGAAGAAGAAGAAGATGAAAAAGAAAGCCAAGGCAGGTTCCTGCCTTGCTGCAATGACGAGTTGAGTTCGATAATTACTTCGGTTCCAACGGTATGTACGCCATGGAAAAAGGGAGTAGTAGCATCAATCCCGAAGAAAGCAGCTGCTTGTACCTCGAGTTCCGCCCGAACCGCAACCCATTCCCCGTGTCATCCCCACTTTGCTGTTCGTAAGCTTAGATTCGGGGTTTAGGCTCGTGCGCATATTAGCACCTGAGCGTCCTCAACAGATTTAGGATTGTACTGACTTGAGGAAGCTCGGGATAAGGTACCGTACATGCGTGTGTATGTGTACAAATATAAATATAAATACGCACCAGTATCCTAACTCAATGGATTTGGGCTGCAGGTTTCAAGACTTAGGACAGTTTTTTTCTCTGGAACCTCAGACTGAGTTTTTGCAACGACTTGCCCTCCAGAAAGGGGTTTGTGCCAGGTCGAGCCATTCTTCAACCAATTTTCTGAGCCATCAGAGACTGCGCTGTGGAGCCATGTGAGCCGAACCTACACCAGCTGTACATGTCTCATATACGACAACATTGCAGTCTGTGCGAATTTCACGCCCGCCCTATGAATTTCACGTCCTCTCCTTGAAATGCAATTTGTTCATTTCACGCACATATGCCCCCAAAACCAATGGTCAC